TTATTCAAGTGTAAAAATATTGTACATGCAGTTATATAGATGTACAAATATAAAAAAAATGACTCTATCAAAGATCAAACTATTAAAGAAAATAGCAAAGACAAATATCAAATTCAAGTTATTACAATAACTTTGTTCAATGCTTAAAATCCTTTCAAGGGTGCGTTTGCACAATCCCACGTGAAGTATTTCATGTGTAGTAAAGCCACGTTTAAAGTAGTCTTCAATGTACTCACAATACATTTCCATTTCAAGTGTACAGTAACCAGCCAAAGAGCTGCTTCTATGACTGTGTGTTTAAGTATCTCATCATTTTGACTTTCTATCCCATAACTTCAACTTTCTATCTCAGAATTCTGACTTTCTATCTCAGAATTCTGGAATTCTGACTTTCTATCTCAGAATATCTCAGACCTAGACACACACACACACGCGCGCACACACACACACATACATGTGTGTTTGTTTAAATAACTATCCACTTGTATACCTTTGTATTTTGAGAGAGAGAGTGGCACACAGGTTTACAGAAACAACAATTTTAACAATAAATATGTTCTTAAAGTCTCCATATTACCATGTTCTCATTACGATAACACTTTATAATAAAACTTAATACTTTAACATTTCATAACAACAAAATTCTCTGCATGGAAAAACCACACTGTATAACAATGTGACATTTTAACTTAAAGTGAGCCTCCTCAGGGTCAATAAGAGGTTGGAGCCATCGCTGCTGGCAGTAACTGCTCTTACCTTCACTAGCCGAGCCTGCGTCCGTCTGTCTGTCCAATTACTGCAGGAGATCATGAGGCGAAGCCAGAAAGCAGCACAGGTAAAGCATCTCAAACGCATGTTGAAAGTATATATTAAGGTTTATAATGACGGGTAAAACGGTGTGGTGCGTGTGCCTGACATCACAATATATAATTTCTCTGTCAAAAATGTTAAAAGATTTAAAAGTTTGCCAACACAGTAACAGCTGATATAAAAAGTCATGCAATGTCTCAAACACAGTAAGTAGCAGAGTGGCAGCTGACTGTTGTAATCATGTTTAAAGCCAGTGAAGCGAGCACGGTTTGCATCTAGTTTTGTCGGACTCACTCATGTGTGTGACTCCAGTGCTTCACATACAAAACGTAATTGAAGAAATTACAGTTGTGACACAACGCATGCGGATGGCTGCTCCTTTCTTTGAATATCTCCCTGCTGTTGCCGGCAGCACCTCTGAGATTCAGCTGCACTCAGTAAACACATTAATTAGAGGAAATGCTCTTTTTCTTTAATTCTGCTCAGCATAATGTGGGATGCACATTTGGGACGTAAAGCAATAATCATTGCACAAATACGAATTATGCTATTCTAATTCCTCCTTTTAATTGTTCCATTTGCATGAGAGAGGAATAATGAATAGCATTAAGTCAATGTGCCTGACAGGATTTGTACTCATGACATTTGTTTTAATAATTACATTGTCCCTATTCATTGATATCATGGTATCCTCTTTTTCATATTGACATTTTTGGAAACACAATTACTACTTTTTTATTTAATAAAAGATGGAAAGATCAACCAATCTCATGTCTGCGTGTGTGTGGAGTTAATTAGCTTAGCATAAATTAATGATATAAATGAATTATTCTTATCAATCAATCAATCATTATTTTTTTCCCCCTTTTGATTCATGTCTCTGCTCGTTATTCTTGTTAATAAATTCGCTTTTGGGAATTATTTGAATGGATATCTGGAACCTTGAATGTGAGCTTTGGTCATTTTATCTACAGTAGCCCGTGTACCAGATTACAGACCTGGAGGCTTCGCTAAACTCTGCTCATGTGAGGAGAACACCGTCCATGTGATGGAGGCCGGTGAAGTAAAGCGTCTCTCTCCCCCCCACCCCCCCCCTCCAACCATCTTCTTTCTATCTAACTCACTCTTCTATCGCCTCTATCTCTAAAGAGCTGGAAGTGCTCTCCCCGCCTTTTATCTTCTCTTTTCCCCTCCATGTGTACATTCTTACCATTGCGTCATTGTTTCCCTCCTTTTGCTCTCTTTCCACCTTTCAGCATCCCAAATAAGGTAGCCATGGAAACACAGTCGAAGTGTGTTTGGTGATGAAATAGATTTTGTAAAGGCCATTCAGTGGAGTAGTACCTTACACACACACACACACACACACACGCACGCACACACACACACACACACACACACACACACACACACACACACACTTCTGTGTTCCCATCTCTTCTTTTCTCTCCCTCAAGGGTTAGCCTTAATCTGTTGCCATGGATACCAACATGGGGGGGGGGAGTCCTTCCAGAAGAAAACTTTGTCTTGAGAGCGTTTCAGGGAGATTCCTCTACTGCAGGTTTGTCTTTCGTCAAACTGTAGAGAAACACTGCTGCACCGACCCGAAGTTATCTTAAACAACACGCTGCAGACGGTCTGAGGTCGCCGTTCAAAGCCGTGGCGGCCCGACTGCTGAATGTGAAAAGGTCAATACACAATTCCAGCCAGAGGTAAGTGCCATGAAAGTATTATATTTGGAGAAAAGGGACAGAAAGTGCACAGAGAAGAGGGTTTACGGCGTCTTTCTAGAACCAGGGTTCAGGTGTTCCTTCAGTTTAACGGTGAGGATTTGATTAAAATATCAGAAATAAATTCTGTAGCTCAGGCTAAATGTTTTTGATATTTTATTCTGAGTACAATTAAGCCATTAAAGATCCTATTTGGGAAGTTTGGAGCTTTTATGTGTCTCATTTAAAACGTGAGTATTACCAAAGTATTGTGCTTGTCACTGAATCACCACATTACAATTCCTTATAGCCTCCAAACTCTAGCAGTGAAATCATTACAGATTAATGATACTGAACTCAATTTAGCAGTTTGAGTTAGAGTCTACAGCCAAAGTGACTCTGTGAGGCTGTACTTTGGCAGAGTGGTGCTCACAATTACAATGCCAACAGGATATAAAGCATTTATAATGCTTATATTGTATATTTACTATGAATATCTGTACAGAATTTCATGGCAATGCATTCAAATATTGTAATCTTGACCAAAGTGGTGGATTGACAGACAAAACATCACTATCCCTAGAGCCCAAATATACTAAAAATACTGAAAAACACACGACTATCATGGAGCTTCTTGTTAACAAACAGCTGTTACTGTTTCGTGGATACGAGTTACAGTGTCAACTGTTTTCTCACTCGTGACAGGAGCAGTTGTTCTGCTGTCAGGCTCCGACACAAGAACACACGAAAATACAGCTAAACACAATAGCTGGTGAGGTCTGTTTGTAGCTGCTTCTCATCCAGGCAATTACAGGATTCATTAATATTCAGTGACAGACAAACAAACACACACACACACACACGCACACACACGTTTTTAAGCTGCAGACTATTAGTTGCGCCAAGGACAATCCACATTACTAAGCTGGTGAGGAGTTTCAACAAATTAGCATAACATGCACGAGCGAGGTTAACTCTGTCTTCCTTTCTATTTAACTGTGCAGAGAGAAGGGCCCCTTGAAAGGTTCTGTCAGCTCGATGCCTAATTAAACACTTTGCAGCACTTTGAGAAAAGTGTCTTTTAAAAAAAGCGACAGTGCTTAAGCATACAGAAAAAAAAGGGTTTTGGAACAGATCGAAAACCCTCCACAGGTGTCACTCTGCTTTGTAACCAAGCAGAAAGAAAAACACTCTTCATATCTGTCTTTGGAGCAACAGTTTGTGCATTTTTATTGCTTTATTCCTCACTGCTGAGTTCATTGTCGCCACTCGCTTATGTGGGCAGACAGCTTGTTTTTGGTCAGATTGTATGAAATGTCTCAAACGAAACAGATTGTCTGCATACACCGCCGCTTGTTTTTGAGTTTGAATGAAGTGTTTTACGACGCCTTACAGCCCATTATCTTCTAGACGGGGGGTTAGCTAATTGTGGGTTGTATTCATTCAATCACACAAAACAAGTCATTGCAGACACATGTGTCGGAGATCTGCACTCGTCTGAGTGCACTTTTCTTGTTCTGGTCTATTTTCTCTCACTGTGTTTCATCATGGTGTTATTCAACTCTGATTAAGGCCGACTGCAACCCCCCAACCCCCCACCCCTTCAGCCTCTCCTCTGTAGGTCACATCTGTCAGTAAAATAGCTTATATCTGAGCTTATGGTCTGCTACGTAAAGTAATGTTCCCGTTTCAGTCATCAATTGCGGTCAGTGGAAGGCATTCCTAATCTATAAAATAATTCTCATCTTCACTCTGTTTCATTTCCTCTCCTTGAACTTGCATGATTGTCCTCCCATCACAATCTTATGATCTCTGCCTGGAAGGGGAGCACGAGGTATTACGCCTGAAATGAAAATACATCCCTCGGTCCACAATTTCTTTTTATCTCTTCTTCACTTGAGCACCTTCCAGCATTTATCTACTAACTGGCATATCTGGGAGGCAGGATGGTGGGTTGTCATGGCCTCAATCAGGCACAGTGAAGCACAGAGCCATCCTCTTACACTATCCTCCATCCCCGCTGATGGTCATTGTCTCTTTATAGATACAGCTGGCACCCTGCGTATGTGTGTCATTAAGAACTGGGGGCTTTGCAGAGTTCGCCAGCTGGCCATATCGTATCTATCTGGCCCTGCTTTCTACTGTGTGTTGCCAGCAACATCAACCCACTGCTCTGGAGCTTATAAAATCCACATGAATGTCAATCCGTCAGCGTTTACCAGCAGAACTTGTCCCTATGGTGTTGTTAGCAGCATGGCTCCAGGTAGACCAGGACTGGATGTTGCCGCTTTTGGGGAAGATCCACTTAAGCTGGGAATGATTGGCAATATTAACATATTTATCATCGTGACGGGGAGGGGAAGTGTGGGTAGTAATATGATTCTGCTTATTGCGAAGGTTGGAAAATTCAAGTAAATGAGGAAAAGATGAGGAAAGATGTGACCAAAGAAAAGGAAATAAAAATACATTAATAAGGCATGGAAGAGGAAAAGATGTAAAGATACAATTTAATCATTTTAGACAACTTTAATGTGCATTATAATTCAATACCAAGTGAAGATTTCCCAACATTTTTCATCCCAAATAAAAACATGTGAATGAAGAGCAGTTGCTGCAGCTCATGGTCATTTATCATTCCGGTGCTGCCACTCGATGGTAGAGTGAAGGAGTGCACGTCAGTGACTCCCAATGCAGAAATCATGTGTTCATCTTGTAAAACAAGAGCTATATTTGACATCTTTATAAGTGATCTTGTACATTTTCCAAGTGTCAATGAAGTCGTCATCAACCTGTTGTTCAAACATTGCTTCATCTGCATTAATCTATTCCTGAATGTAAAGTCCAAACTGGCCCGACTGATCCTGCTGAAACTCTATGTGACAACTCAGCGGCCGTTGTAGGGCAAATGTCCGCCGAAAGACACATCTGTTAAATGATGTGTTTTGTCTGTGAGATAAATCTGGTGGATTGCTTGTCACTTTCCTGAGCTTCAAGGTCCTCAGAAGGCCGAGTTGGTGAAATGAAGCATCGCTAAATTTCCTCAAAGTGGAAGATTTCCAAAGGCTTGCCATCAGTGACAGCGTGGATTGACATTTTCAAAAGGCCACCGCGGACATTTTGCCAATGAAAGACAAAAATCAAACGGACGTCACGCTGTAACTGATACAAGGTATTGCTTGCCCTTTGACTATTGATTGTCGGATGTAGTAAAATTGGTTAAACTGTTACATCAGTCAATGCCACCTGAGCAGGGTGTGACTCTGTGCTAGCCTTGATGTACAGGAGAGGGCAGCAAAGTCAAGACAGCTGCTTGTTGAGCAGCTTACTGGTGATACTTCAGCTGGTGAGGAGCCACATCAGCCTGCACAGAGGATGTAATATTAGCTCTCAGGGTGATTGAAATCAATCGTTGATTTCAGAGGTCTCCTTCCTTGAATGTGTTGAACTTACATTTTGTACAATCGTGCCCTTTGAAGCAACATGAAAAGTCAGGGGACTAGGTTTCATTCTCTTCAGACTATAAATGTCTGTATTAAACTTTATGGCAATCCACCACGATAACGAGATATTTCCCTCTGGACCAAAGTGACGGACCACTGGTTAAAAATTGTGTCTTCATTGAAACTAAGGCACCAACTGAGACTTATATCTTTCTACACTTGCTTTGGTTTAACACAATAACACATAATGTGGCCATCTCCAGTAATACACAACACATTTTGTGTATAGTTGCAAACAAACAATTTTACATTCTTGTGAAATCACTGACAGGTTAACTTATGACTCTTGAGTTACAGTACATCACCATCAGGCTGGTGTCATCCAGCATCCGTAGCTATGCCTACTAAAAAAAATGATGTGCCGTGATTTGTAAATATCCCAAGAAATGTTTGTGTATGTTATGGATGTAATTATGAACGAGGACGTTTAAAAACAGCTAAATCACACACTGGGCGGGGGGAGGGGAGGTGGATGGGTCCAACAAACAGAGATCTATCAGCCTGGAGACCGCTCTCCGTTCATGTGAAAAGAGAAGCCAATGTTGATCTTGTCACGTAACTTGCCTACTTCAATAACAACACTTCCTTGGTTCATTTCAAGTGGTTTTGAGAGGTTTTGTTGCCTAAACCTAACTGAGTTTCCTGTGAAGATGGAAGTTACTCTATGCATGAAATTCACACATGTTGCTGGCTTTCGTAGGAAAAGTACCTTTTCGTAGAAGTGAAGCAGGTTATCCTCTACTTGACTTCTGTCCAGACCCCTAACATGATACCATTAAGCTGACACAATTTACGTTATTAAACAAACTTACAATACAATTGCTTCATCATGGAAATGATGCATTCCCACATACAGTACAAGTTCATCTTTCCAAACTCTCTGAAACCTCTCAGCTTCTCCTCTTGTGATGTTTCTCCATCCCAGCCTCCTTCTCTTCTTCTGTTTCGGGCTGGATGACTATATTGGCATCTGCTGTCTACTTCCTCACACTGGTGTTGTGTGTCTAGTTATGTTTCTGTGCAATGCCGTAGGGCACGTGGGCAGCGACGGTGCCCATCTCTGCCGCGCCCTCCACGTGAAACATCTGATCGTCAAAGTAGATGTGAGGCCTGATCTTCTCCAGCATGGGGCCCTTGGGTGCCCCTGCGAGGAACAAGGCCTCGTCGATCTCCAAGCCCCAGGCCCTGAGTGTCTTCAGCGCCCGGATCCCAGAGCTGGCTGCGCTACGAGCTGTGACCAGGTATGTTCGGATGGGACAGTCCAGGCGCTGGCCTTTGGCGTAAAACTTTTTCTGGAGCTTCCCCAGTGCTTCCAGGAAGCCCTTCAGGGGACCCTGGCCCGGAGGAAGAAAACGATTATGATAAAGCGAAGCTGGAGAGATCGTGTGTTCTCTCAACACCGTCTCACAGAAGTTTGTGAAATAGTTACGGAATGCATTCTATTGGTTTTCTGTACAGGGACATGAATTGTCCGTTATTATTATAACGATGCACCAACTGACTGACTGTCATGTTTCATAATTGATCCATAAAATAATGAATGAAACAGATTTTATATGGAGAACAGGTGAGTCGGTCTGCACGGAAATGGCAATTTAAGGCTCCGATGGAAATTAGGGATTAAACATTTTTAGATCTTTCCCACAGTGAAATCCAATCTGTACTGATTCTATCTATGATTACTTAGGGTAAATTAATAAAATATATGTATGGTGTCAGCAAATTATCTACTCTTAAAGAGAAAATGTCTAAACAGACCTCCTGTGAGAACTACTCACATGATCCAGTAGCGTGTCCTCGTTGTCCCTCTCATGTTCGAAGAACTTGTCCAGCCCGTGTGCCTTGAAGATGCGCTCCGATTCGTCAGAGAAGAGGACGGCGTCACCATCAAATGCCACCCTCAGCTGGGACTCCGAGACCTCAGTCAGATTCTCCGTCATGAACATGGTGGCTGCCGCGATGCCTGGACATAAACACAGAGAGAGATTTACTAAACATGATTTCACTTCACTTAAACTTTGCTTTACTTCACTTTAAATGAAACCATATAAACACCTTGAATACTGCAGACAATCACATGCTAGTTTGATCAGACTCAAGTGAACAGAGACATTTCTTGCTCAGGTAAAATATCCTTTATACATCAATGTACTTCATTTAACTTCACTTTAAATACATCCAAAATATAGTTTAGTAGACTTCATATGACCGTGACATATTGTCAGATTAGAATCAAGTAAACAGAAACAATCCTTTGTAAAGTAAAACCATACATATCACTTCACTCAACTTTACCTAAAATTAAAGTCTGAGGTCTGAGACTAAATCCACCCGCTGCATAATTTACAAAAATGCAAAAAAGTAGGAGCTGAAAGATGAAACCAGATATGACAGCTCCAGCTATTCATGAAGTTAGTAAGAAAATGTCAATATTAACACCAGCATTGATGTGTTCCATCACAATACTTTAACCTATAGGTGCTTTGATACCTGCAGACAATCACGTGCTGGCTGGATCAGAAGCAGGTGAACAGAAACATGACTTGTTAAGATACAGTAAAATTAGCTTTCTCTACGCTTCATCACTTCATCTGCTGCTGGAAGAAACCAGGAACAGCTGATGTGCTTTCTGGCCTTCAGCTCACAGAACGACTGAACAAATGGCTTCAAGGCTAATTAAGACCTTTCAAGGAAAATGTCAAGGACGCTTCCTTTGCTTGAATCATTAAGTGTGTGTGCGTGTGTGTGTGTGTGTCTGTGTGTGCTTGTGTGTGTGTGTGTGTGTGTGTGTGTGTGTGTGTGTGTCCCCCACAGAGTCACTTGCATTAGTGACATCAAGCGTGTTAGTCACATGAATGTCTCCTTGAGAGGTATGTGGTCCCGCTGGGTTCAATAATCACTCAGTTAGTGTGACACAGCAGATACATTACATTATATTCTGGTTCTCATTACTAGAAAATCAAGATTTCGTGAAAAAATAAAAATATTTTTGTGTCAACAAGCTCAAACAAATCTTGTTTTCCAATTAGTCAGAAACAGGTTTCATCGTTCATTCTGGATTTGCTTTCCTTTCGGTTTGAACTCTATTTGTGTCCACTTGGTCTGCTCTATTTCTGTTTTGCGCTTTCCTTTTTGACAGCAGTAATATTACTAAAGCATGAAATGTGCTGCACTGAACAAATATAAACCTTCAGAAGCGGTTGTCAGCTCAAGTCCAGCGAATTTCACATCAACATATTCTGTTTCCAGCGTCTCGTCAGCGTATTACTGGAACATCTTGTATTTCTTTGGCACAGAGCGGTCCGTGTTTTCAAATATCAAGCCAGAACAATTTGGATGTGATGACACGCAGGAATCCATCAAGGAAACACAAAGAGGGGGGAAATCATCACCATGATGGTTTATGGTAATGTGACTGCAGCATCGGAGTAGATGTCAGTCACTGTAGTGTCGACTACTGCAGCTCTCTGTTTATAATTCATTTGCTAATTTGTGCTACACAGGAACAACAACATCACGTATCACGGGGCTGATGGGGAAGATGCTAGCGGAGAGTGTAACGTGAGCCAGAACTAGCAAAATGCCAGAAATTTGCCAATATTTTACCCTGGAAGATCCAACCGATTAAAACGTTGTGTACAGTATGCAACACTTTAGTGTATGTATTTGTTCATGCATACAAAGAGTTGAATCTGAGCCAGGTCATTCAACAATGATCAAACAGCAATTATATCCCATTCATACAACGTTACCAAAGAACATTTGTTAAGATTAAGAACTGGGATGGTGTGGGGTCTAAACCTCGCACTAGTGCAATGTGTTAAAAATGTTAACGCCCAAAATGTTTGCAGTCAAATTATTTTTTAGCTTTGCTCTACTGTAGATCAGCACCTTTTATTATAAAGTGACAGAAACCACATTAAATCAGACTTCCTCCTGTGTGTGTGTGTGTGGGCTCACCCTCAGCCAGCGCCTCCCTGACTTTGTCGGCGTCAGCAGACAGGTAGAGGTTGGTGTGCCAGGCCTTCAGGTAGCCAATAGGACTGCTTCCCCCCGTCATACAAAACCTCTCAATAAACAAGTCTGGAGACAAGAGCAACAAACAGCAACAAGGTTTTAAGTGTCAGTCCATCATTAAAAGCCAACATCCAGTTTACATTGGCAGCACTACAGAGCTAATGAAATATCGATGCATGTCTTTATTTGTATTTTTATAAACCATCAGATCCAGAAACAAAGTGACGGAAACAAAAACAGAAACATCCTCGTTTCTGCTGTGAGCTGTAGCTTTTAATTGGTCACAATTTTAGGAGCCACAGGGGGTGAAGTGAGGGGCAGATGGGGGTGAGAGGATAAACTTACAAGCACTTAAAATGTGGAGAGGGTCCAAACAGGGGGCTGACTAGAAGGGGGGAAGAGTGGACCGAGAATGACTGGCGGTAGAGTGTCTGCTCGCATTTTGGCTGAGGCAGTCTCTGAATTCGCTGCTGATGGATCCAAACAGCAGCGGAGAGACGGTATGTGGAGAATGACAGCAGACTGATACTAGGTCATTAGATCTGTGATCACAGAGCGGTTCAGGTAGCATGAGCTGATATTTAGGAGAAAGGGCACAGGAGTAAAGTAACAATACTGATGATGGGATGGTTGATGTGATGAAATGAGTTTGAAAAGAGTTGAAGGGTTGTGTAGAATGAGAATAGATGACGCCTATGATAGATGGAGATATAGTCAAAGAGAAGGTTAGCGTCGGTGGGAGATTGATGTGCTGCTTATGAAAAGAGAGACGGCAAGGTTAAGGCTTTTTATCTGAAGCGGCACTCGGCAAGAAACCTGTCTTAGACTTATTCCACATTAAAAGGGCTCTCCAGCAATGTAGTTTTGCTCATCCATAAAGATGAGGGACTTGTTAGAGACATATTTTATACAATAATGGTCAGAATTGATGCAGGCACAGCTTTGTAGTTTCCAACTGACAGAGGATTGAGACAAAGAGGTGTAGAGGCGTGTGGGCAGAGGTCTTTATGAGAATGCTAATGTTGACAACAACAAAGGGTGTTCTGTTGGTATAAATAAACACTGCATGCCCAAATAAAATGTTGAAGTCAGGTCGGAAACTGGTGGGAAATGGTCTTTTTATGATGAATCAAAGGTAAAGTATTCATCTTGTCATAGTCCTCTCCTCTTGTGTCTTGCTTTCTTTTACTTCCTGTCTTTGTGATTGTCTGGCCTGCCCTGATTTGTTCCACTTGTGTCTCATGAACCTGCTCCCCTTGTGTACAGGTAGTCTGTGTGATTTCCCTCTGCAGTGTCGGCGTTTGTTTCTTGTGTTCCTCGTGTCATACCGGATAGTCCTCAGTGTGTTTTCTTTGTATTGCTGCAGCCTTCACCCTCACTGTTTGTTTCCTGTCTCTTTTGATTTTTGCTACCAGCTTGTTATTCAAGCTCGCCTTTTGCTCATTTAACCGGCTTGCCTGGTGTCTTTTTTTTTACAAATAGACATTATACTGAAGTGATTTGTGGCTTTGCACACTAGGTGTCTGGTTCCTTTTTCTAAGTTTGAGAACGCAGACACAGCAAAGTGCAGTTCACTAAAAGCTCTAATATTTAACGTTTTTAGCTATTTTGCCTTCATCAGAGTGGTAGTTTCCCCTATTGCCATTTAATTTAATCACATAGAATAAAATCGTTGTACCATTAGCCATCGACTCTGTCTTGACAAATGCCCAAAACTCTGCTATCCTGATGGATTTCATGTTCTTGATGTCAAACTCTATTAGCAGAAATGCAAAGTTATGTAGTGCCGTTTTAAAAGAACTAAGACTTGTGGATACAAAGACAAGCGGCTACAATATGACTCATAAACAGGCTGAAGGCAGATGGAGATGGAGACTAAAAAAACGAGAGAAGCGGAGTTCAAAGAACCAACTGTCCTCTACAGATTTTTTTGAATGGTTTATTTAGCTTTGTAGTCTGGCCATGGTGAGTTTGGCCCCCACATTTCACTGCACCACATCATTTCAAACCTCCCAAGCATCCCCCTGCCTTTAAGACGGGCGCGGGAGCGTGGGAGTCCCTCAATGGAAAAAATCCTCACCATTGATGTCTTTGTGTCTTTTTTCTTTCCCTTTGCAAAACTGTCTTATCATCTATCTTTGTGTGATTTATTTGCTTGTTCAGTAGATCTGAAACATGGTAATAGGAAAGCAGGAAATCGGCAGGACTGCAGAGACACTGCTGTCACGTCAGAGAATGAGCAGCTTCGTTGTGCAGTTTTACACTTTACAATCATAGCAGCTATGCATATAGTAGCCATGTATGAGGTGATGTTGTGACTCCAATTTTAGATTTCCTTTGGGAACGATCATGTCACCTTGTGACATCTCAATTTGAGCACCTGCCAGTTATATTGGCCCTTGGGTCCTCCTATGTTGTATACATGCAAATTAGATGAATAAAATAACTTATCACCGTCACAAGAGTGTTCCCACCTGCTTCAAGACAGTCACCATTGCCCCTTTATCTAAAAAGTCTGTTGTGTTAGTCTACATGACTACGACCATGTGTGTGTGAAGTGGTGAAGTGATTTGAGAAACTGTTTCTCCTGCACATCAACAACAACATCCGAGCCATCCTGGACCCTCAGCAGTCTGCATACTGAGCCAACAGATACACAGAGGATGTCGTTTCCACTGCTCTCCACTCAGCTTTTATACATCTTGGAAATAACAGCAGCTACATCAGAATGTTGTTTGTTGATTTGAGCTCAGCATTGGATACAATTTCCCCCATGAAACTGATCATAAAATGTCTCTGGGCTTCAGTACCTCACTCTGCAACTGGATATTGGTCTTCCTGACAAACAGACCCAAGACCGTTGAAATTGGCAGCCAAACCTCCTCCACTCCAGTGTTGAACACCGGAGCCCCCCAGGGCTGTGTGCTCGGCCCCCTCCTGTTCAAGTTGTACACCCACGCCCCCCCCCCCCCCCCCCCCGACATGAAGCGCACTCTGTTGTGAAGTTTGCAGACGACACAACCGCCATCGGCCGGATTACAAAACAACAATGAGAATTCATATAGAGAGGAAATCAACAATCTTACCGAGTGGTGCTCAAAGAACGACCTATTGCTCAATGTCAGTAAAACCAAGGGGCTGAAGGAGGTGAAGACACACACCCCTGTCTACATCAATGGGGTTGAAGTCAGCATCACTAACAAGCTGACATGATCATCACACATCTCCACCGTGTTTGAGAAAGCTGCAAAATGGCTGTATTTCTTACTGAAACCCCAAAAGGCAAAGTTCCTGTGACAAGTTCTTGTCAACTTTAACACAGGAGTAATAGAAAGCCTGCTGACTGGAAACATAACAAATTGTCATGGTTTGTGCACAGCTCAGGACAGGAGTGCTCTACAGCCAGTGATTAAAACCACCCAGAACATTACAGTTACCCATATACCGAGCATCAGTGATATTGGTGACAAGAGGTGCCTGCGCAGAGGCCAGTCTGTGCTCTTGCTGCTGCTTTTTTAAGACTGCATGCAGCTGTCAGCTTGCTTCTCTCCGGCTGACCCGGCATTCTGCTGCTGCTGCAGCTTCGCTTCTCTCCTGTTAGGTTTAGTTTTGTTGCTTTAATTTATTTTTATGTTGTTTTTTTTTCACCTTTACAACACCCGCACACACACACATCCTCCACTCATGAATCACACACATTACTGACACCACTGATTTCCTTTGTTAAATGTTCGTATGGTGAATCTCCCTTTTTTGTTATGGCTTGCGGGCACTTATGATTGTCATTCACAGCCATGGCGTAACAATATAGTTGTCCCGAGTCATCGAAAAGCAATGAGTAACTTTATACCTCATCCTGCAACTGTTAAAAATAGCAAGCAGGTGATGAGCGATAAATTACTATTTGAATGTTTGTCTGACGTGGCCCCATTCAGTTTCAAAGGTGAAAAGCTAAGGAGCAAGTTTCTTTCTTCATCATTTTTATGACTCTGTCACATGTCGAGACACTTTGCTGGTTGACACAGCATGTTCAACTAACTCTTATCCCTGAGACATCAGAGAGGCCATGTTTTCCTGTCGCGGTGTAGGAAAGGTCAGAGGTCAGATTGGTAAGGCCCCTCACGCAGAGAGCCACCAGCGAGATCTAACATGGAAGCATCTGGGAGGCAGCGTGCAGCTTTGAAGTGGCTCTACTTTGGCCTGTTTTTGTTTCGGGACTCTTGGATTAGTTTTACAATCCCGAAGGACATGAACTCACCCCGGCCTGAACAGGAAGTGGTCTGTGAGGAAGATGGGTCTGAGATTTCCCTGGGAAGGACCCTTTCAGTCAGCTGTTCACACACTTTGTTTTTTGTCTCAGCTCCAGTATCCTGTCTAATTATGTCAATGTCTTAACATCTTAAGGCCTTCAGACACAGGAGGCGTTTTTTTCATGAGATTAATTCAGACATCAGTATTAGTTTTGAAACTGTTGATTTTTTCATGAATACTTTTACACAGAACGCACATTTTACGCAGTGAAAAAGCGACGTGTTTTTTTTTAGAGTGAGGTCAATTTTTCTGAGCATTCGCACCATAAATAAAGGCATCAACCAATCACGTTGTTCGGAGGCTCGGTAGTCCGAACCAAGATGTCAAACTTTATTACTTCTTTCAACCTTCACAAAGGTTTACCAGAGGGAACTCAAGTTCACTCAAAGCATTTCACGAAACAGAAACTCAAAAATGTCTCACAGTACTTTAGGCTATACAGCAGTTTACTCAGACTTATTGAAAAAGTGCTGCAATTGTTGCATTTTTCCGTGTAGTTATTTTTTCACAGTGTGTAAATGCCTTTATAGTTGTGATCTCTTAAATCTTTCTCTCACATATTTTTCCATTTACATTCAACATCCATGTGCAGTTTCATGGGGAGTGAGATACTGATCTGATATCTTAATGGGCTGTTACCACTGTTCTGCCTGCCACATCGTATCATTCGATAGTGAGTGAGGGCCACATCTTTATGATTATCTCTAATCTTAACTTACTGTGATGGTTGATGGTGTTGATGAGCCGGATTCCGACATGGGCATGGTTATACGTCACTAAAATGATGTCAAACAGCTCTTCACTTTGTGGGTACAGCTCCCGCAGACGAACGTTCACCGTCTCCAGAGCCTGTCAGGATACAGCAACAGTCAGCTAAGAAGCTGGACAGCATGACATTTAAATACTCATTCAGATGAATCTCTGTACTGCACGTGTTATGTCCGTGAGTGCATGTCTGTGTGACTTTAACCTTGACGAAAGGGAAGGCGGGTCCAGGGGCGAAGGGTTCGTTCTCGTGTTCGATTTGGTATCTCAGATACTCCTCGACCCCTTTCTGCTCGAACACCTTCTGCTCCCGCTCGGTCCGAAACAAGACCCGAGAAGAGACCGCAATGGTCACTGCGTTCTCGGGCTTTGGCTAAAGAAAAATGGTAGGATAAAGAAGAACTGAAAAAAAGGGAGGATGAGCGACCATTGATGACCGGAAAACACATTGGGAAGGTGAGTCAGAGGCCTGTGGGGCAAAATTGATGATACATTTCACTTACTGTCAGGCCTGTTATCTGTTGTAATGCTGTTACTTTACAACGTCAACAACCTGTATGATCTATCGTGAGTAGAATGGTGTTGTCTCTAATCATGGGGGTAAGAAGTACTTTGCATGTATGGCCCAACACGTTCTCACTCCCAACTCCTCAAATAGCACAGCTTGGTCAGTTCTCCTTGGCGTCTGACAACTATGCATGTTTAGCGTGTAGTTAAATTGTTTACGTTTTACTTAGTTTGTGGACTTATTTCAAGCTCTATCATGATGGTTTTTCCTCAATCAGGTTGTTTTGTTGCAATTCTCAATGTTGAACTACGCGGTAACTGCGACCATAGTTTGACATGCTGGGCTAGAAGTGCGTTAGAAAGTGACGAGTGTGCCCATGAACTTTAATGAACATTACAAGGTGGCACAGTGGCCTCGTGCTGCCTACTGTGTTAACGCTCAGGTGTCAGTTTTTTGCAGGGGAGGGCTGCATTCTTCTGGGGGCAGCGGGCATTAATGCCCACAGTTGGCAGCTGAACTTAGACGATGCCTGGTTGTTGGGTAGAGCATTGAGGGGGCAGAGGGGGCTAACTTAAAGGACAATAATGTGCTGGTGAACGTCTGTGTGTGAGGCTTTTACCTGTGCACACAAGTTTGCCTAAATGTGTGGTTGAATGTGCTGTACAGTGCGTCACATATGAGTTCAAGTATCTTTTGTTTGGCTCTAAATCATGCACTTTGCCTGTAGTAATGAATATTAGAAATAATGTAGACTTCATTTCACTGCTGGATAATACTTTACTGGAAAAATAAAAAAGTGTGCAGTGCAAAAAGTCAAAAGCACATAACAGCAGTGGATAATGCATGATTTTGAGTCAATATGTGTCTATGTCTTTGTGTGAGTGTGTGTTTGTGCAGTGGGGCAGAAATCTGTGTAATAAAACACATGCATGTTTGTGCATGCCCCTGTGGCTGCGTCCCGGTAAATAGGCCATAGGCTGGACAGGGGAAATTGTTCACTGTCCCTCTATTTAGCCTTATTCCATCACAACACCGCTGCCTGCTGACAAGTCACCTACTTACCTGCTAACACACACACACACACACACACACAGGATTAATCATGACGCACATCTAAATCAGATTAAAAAGTAAGTTTGATGAGACGATAACACTCATATACATGCTTACAGTTAACAATTGGAGCGTCGTCTTATGTCATACATTCTTTTGCATTTACAGTTGGCTGTGAGGCACACATTTGTTTTGAATGTTCACATTAAGACTCAATCAATTTGACTATGGAGCAACATGACACGAAGCTTTTGCCACACAAAGACGCACATCGCCCCCCTGCGGACTTTGCCTTCATATGGCAATCTATCCAAACACGGGGGTATGTACAAATAATGTTACAAATGGCAAGAGGCGGCATTTCTGTAGCCTCTGAACATGGCTCAGGCTGAGTTAGCGGCTCACAGCTAACAGTTCTAACAGCTCTAACAGAGCTAATATAGCTATTTTACTTGAAGGGGAACCTGAGGGTCGATGCTAGCTTTCGCGATGATGCAGTGAGTTGGGAAGGCGTTGTCAGCTGTAACCAGTGTGCGAAATACAGGGGGGGGGGGTCTCTGGTGGTCCGAGATCCCTTGATTGACAATTGAGACCCCCTGAAAGCCTCAATAGCAAAATTCCGGGGGGTCTCTAAAATCTTAAGACAATTATTTGTCACTAAAATGTCTTAAGCTTAATGCCCAGCAGTTTTCATTATTATAAGGGAAAAACATTTATTCATGAATATGAATAGTGAGTGTGAGAGATGATTTTCGGCTGTAAATGACGCAGACACTCAGAGATGCAACAGGTTGCGCGAAGCGAGCATGTCTTCTTGGCTTTTTGTGGACCTAAATGGACCCCCATCGGACAAATTTGATCCAGTGGCTTTCATGAGAATCAGGAAACAAAGCCGGACATCGTCTCTCCTCTTCATGGACACCAGGACGGCACTGAGAAGAAGCCGAGCCAAGGACCGCGTCGGAGTCGGTGTTGGATGACGGGTCCCCCAGATTGCCACTGGTTATTTCGCACACTGGCTGTAACCCTCGAATGAGAGCAGTGCGTGCATTACACAAAAGTTTGGAGAATTTTTTTTTAAATGTCTTTATTTTCAGTATAATATGTCAACTAATATTTTAAAAAAAGATTTAAAAAACAGTAGCATGAGAACACAAATCAAAGAGTCGTATCTCTCTGTGGCTGAAGTGATAAGAACACAGCTCTCTGGTGCATTAGCTCAGTCCAGCCTGTAACCATCCAGTACAGTATGAATCAACACGACAGCACACGTGACGATGCATCGGCTCAGGTTGTTGGTTAGTAGAGCGGGTGTGTCCGTGATCATGCAGGCACATTGACATCCATCACAGAGGAGGTTAAGAGAAGGTGAAAAAGCAGTGGTGACAGTCGTTAGGTAACCTCACGATGATGGGACATACTTACAAAAAACACGCCTCCCTCCACCTTCCGGGTTCGTCTCCCTGTCACCTTAGCAGAATGACAGTTTGTTTTTATTTAGTCAGAGAACACTTATTTACAACTAAGCTTCTTTGACAATCCCTACAATCCCCAAACCCACCCAAATATACAGCATCTGAATTTCTGTCTTGTATATAAGTTCAACACTGTGGATGGACTTGATGCTGTGCAAATAAATACACTGAGTAACCTTATTGCTACGGATGTTTAGGATGTGAGTTATTCAACTGATATGACACAAAAAGGCGACGCATCAGTTAGTCAAGTACCGGTACAGCAGCCCTTCACTGGCTTATAGGTTTCCTGTTTTTGTCAAGTCAAGCCTCTCCACTATGATTGAGAGATTTCCTCCTCAAGGCTCTCAACATGGCAACAGCTGGGCCGGCGGATAGCAGCTAACAATGCTGACAGAGCTAACAGCGTTAACCGGAGGGAGGTAACTGGAGGGTGGGCATTAGGCTTCCGTGACCACGTATGAGCGCAGGGCAAAGTATTGCTGGTTAAATAGCCAGTGGGGCGCTTACACTGGGATTTACATGCATGCGCAGGCGGACCGGCTATGCAAACAAAGCACAGAGAAACTTGGACAACAACAGAGAGGGACTGTGACTTCACTCTCTGCTCAGGTAGACATTAATCCACTGTATCTTAAATAGTATTATAATATTTTGTATTTAGCACCTTTAGGTCTCTTTAAGAGTATACTGCTCACACACAGTCCTGCAGATGTACGAGACCTTTGGTGCAGCTTATCCGTTAGAGTCAGTTTACTCTATGAATAACGTGTCACACAGTCCGGGTGTGATCCCAGAGGGCAGTTCTTTGCTGTGATTTGATACTGGTAGTGTTAACAGCCTGCCCTCTCAGTTAGCCTCTTACCAACTCGGAATGCATCGATCACAAGGCTCCTCTGCAAGGGGAACCCACAGCTACCATAATCATCTCCTACTTATTGATTAGGCAAGTAGATATGATTAAACCCGCTGGGAATGAAGACTGGCCTTGTTAGTATATTTGATGTTGGACCAGGGAATTACAGCAACTTAAAGCACAAAATAAGGAAATTGTCGTTGAACCTTCCCCTTCTTCTCTTCCTCAACCTGGATATTAATCCTGTCAGAGCTCTGCCAGATCAGCAGGTCTGGTGTTTGTGCATAACCCAGATCCATGAGTCATCTGTCTAAGCATTGTACATCTGAGGCTGTGAGACATCCCTGCCATTCATCTGAGATTATAAAAGAGGAAAGTGCTCTCTTACGTGTCAGATAACAGACTGAAACATAAGAGAGGGGACGCAGTGGGGAAAATAAACAGGTTGAAGTGTGAGCAGAGAGTGACGGGGGGGGGGGGGGGCTGATATTTATAGACAAGTAAAAGGCCAGTGATGATGCAGTCTATTCAGGCCCTTTCAGGCCCAGGTCTATTCTGCCCTTGGCAGATATGGGAACACAGGACGGTGACTGTGACTCTGCCAGTAACAGCAATGCTAATTAATTTTTCTTATAGAGAAAAGAATCAACCTGAATAGAGCGATTTTGATAAGATTCAATATAAGTACTTAATTAGTGCCAGCATGTTTTGATCCTTATTTTTCTGAAGGAAGCCTTTTAAAATGTTCATAATGGTACTTGTGATACCATGAAGGAAGATAGAACTGTTGTCAAGACAAAGTAAAGCTAAATAACAATAAAGTTAAAGCTTCTCTATGACAATCAGATGATTCATATAGCAGCAGATATTGTCTCTGTGAAGATATAGTGGAGTAATGTTGACCTGAGCAGAGAATGAAGTCGTTATTCAATTAAATATGAATGCTACTTAATTACAATGACCTGGCTGTTTAATGCTAATTAAAATTATGAAAATTACAGTATGCATAATCCTAAAAAACACCAGGCTTAATGTGGTGATATTAATGGGACTTTGGACTAACATGAACATCATCTCTGCCTTCATTATGCTCAGTTACAACCGTCATATTGCCATGTAATTACACATGCAGTTGCTGTCGGCACTGTCCATTAGGCCATATCTACAGTCATGTCGAGCAGTAATATTTGGATGGGTAGTTAAGTAGTAAAACTGTCATGTAATGGATGTTTACAGTCTGAAAATACAACCATGTGGCCGCACTAATCCTCAAGCAGCAGAGATTACTCATATTTTAGCTGCTTTTAGCTTCAGTACCTTGCCCTCACTTCGCTCAGTACTTTGCTCACTCTTTGTTGTTTTTCTATTTTTACCTTTCTCTCTTTTCGTCTTCGTTTCCTCTAACACTTTGTCACTCATCTGTTTAGTTTTATGAACCTAGTTGCAATAAATCTGCTCAGCATGCTGTCCCCTGAGTCTCTGGAAACGCTGGTGTGTCCTGTACAGTATGTTGACGTCTTGCAATGTGATAAACAACACTAAACCCGGCCACTGAATGTCAACTGGGATTCATATTAACCTTTGCAAACTGCACTTTCACTTCTCAGAAGTCTCTCAGAAGTAAATCTGCCGGAAAACTATGGACCTACTGGTGGGTTAAAAACTCAATTTAGCTATACGGAAAGTAGTGAAATTGTTCACATTATAAATTACAGTAAGCAAAATTAGATTTAAAGTCACTTCCACTGAAAAACATCTGACGTGTCAGTTAAAAAACGTACGCTCCAGTCCTATAGAACACTGCTGTAGCATTCAGTCATTTACATGCAAAATATTGAATTTATATATTTTTATTAATCCGCTATGAGTTTAGTGTCATACTCATATTTTGAAATACAGACTGAATTCATTACTTTTATGACGAATACTGTAATTAGAAAAGTAACAGAACTGAGCCTTCAGATTGAAGTCCAGTGTTAAAGATGAGTAATAAGGACAACAAAATGTAGGTTAGCTCGTTAGCTCGTTAGCTGAGCCTCTAAAATTATGAATGTCATGTTCATTAATGCGCTCTGAAGAAAGTAAATGACCACTCTGTGGCTCCTCTGCTCATTCATCTCTTTTTTTAAACTTTTAGATTCCATACTGTATGTGTCTGCCATTCCGTTCATAATTTAGAAGAGATGTTTGACACAAACCCCTCTGACCTCAAATAACTCAAGACACTCAACTTACAGTATCTGACCCGGCTAACCCCTTCTACACTTTAAGCTGCATGTGGGCGACGTAAACATCTGACTTTAAAAATACTTGCTGGACAGCAGTAAAAGGATAGACGAGTGGAGGACAGATGTATCTTGGAAAGGAATTTGTTGTCCTGTAAAGAGAGCTGGACATTCTAGCTTTGGCATAAAAAAAAAACCCAGATTGTTAACAAACACAGACAGAGGTGCATGTGGAAGGAGATTTAGAACTGGTCAGTGAGACTTACTGGTTTTGTCATGGTGGTGAGGCCCAAGTGGTCCTGAGCAAACTTTTCTTTCTCCTCCCATGATCCTCTGCTGTCCCCGTTGGACGAAGGGGAAACTTTGAGCTCATTGACGTGTCCGCTCATCACCTGCACAGGGTCCAGACTCATCGTCACCATAGAGAATCACCCTCTCTCTGGTCCCAAGGGCGCCCCTCCAACCTCTCCTGACTCCTCGACCTTTGATGAAGACACGATCTTCTCCTCCTGCAAAGTCAACAAGCTCAACAAGCAAAATGTCCCGCTGCAGTCCGTGGCATTTATTGCGATACTCCCATTGATGACGGCCTCGCTACAGTAGTTTGCTGAAGTGTGAAGAGCAGAAGCGTTCCCTCTTCTGTCTCCTCTTCACTTGTCTGTATCCTTTTTTTTTTCTTGCCTTCAGAGGATTATTGCTCACTGCGTCCAATTCCAGAGGACATGCAAGATGTTTGCTGCTCCACCGCCACTCATTCATAAGCACTCTCCTAAACACACTGTCACACGTGCAGTCTGTCCTATGTGGAAGTGTGATGCAGGCTGTGCAGCAGTCCATCTGCTGCTCTCTCTGAATGTCTCTCTCTCTCTTTCCCCGCTCAGTAAACCCCCCTCCCTCTCTGTCCCACTCTCTCTGCTCCCTGGCTTCGCTCATTGCCCTCCCGTCCTCCCACTGGCCAATCACAGCCCTGCTTCCTTATTCAGCATGGCTCTGCCCCACACAGCCCCTTGCTGTCTCTTGTTGATGGTGCAATTTGCCCAAGAGGCTCATGGGACACATAAGTACACAGCAAAAAATAGCTTTCGTGATGAGGCAGTTAATCTGGAGGGTAATTATAATTGTTTTTTGGTTGTTTTTTTTTAAATAAGTGAGATGATTATGAAAGAAGGGGGAAATCAGGTGATGCTTTCTGTCTTTTTTTTTTAACCTGACATCGGCAGAATTTTTACATGATTTTAATTGACATATCTTTTGTTCTTATACTCACTCGTATCTGAACGGTGGAGTATACATTTTCACATGAGGATTTTAGTCATTTATAGTGGTTTGAATTGGAAGGAAATAAGTAAAAGGCATAGGAAAGTAAGAACTAGTGTCAGCTGGTAAAGACAGTAGGTTGAGAGAATGAGGGTGAGTACGGGAGGGGTTGATCGGGGAATGGAGAGTTAAATCAGCATAAAGGTAGCAGATAATGGATGTAACCTTCATATAAAACAAAGGCTGTACACCGAGTTCAACACAGGGCCATTAGTGTGCTCACTCATGCATGTTGAACACAGCACAGCGCTCACAACAGTCAGATGTCTTTCTGCTTCGTCGATATACTTTTTATACAAATGTAGCGTTCAAAGCTCATTTATCTTCAAACCACAAGTTAGTTTTAGTAACTAGTTTTGTGACATAAAACAGATGCTCATATCAGGAAGGTGTTGGGGCTTCACCGTGTGGCTGAAACCAAGGAAGAGGCCCTGCGTTGCATTTCAAAAGCCTAAAGTGGTTTAACCGCACCAACACCCATCAGCCGTCAAAATCTCACCTGTGTGAGATTTGGGTCAAACCAAACACTGGTGTCTCATTGGACGAGGGCCACAGGAAGTCCCCGTGACACGGCCGTGATGTCACCAAGGCTATATAACTCACTGCTCACCTTGACTCTGGGCTGTTCATGTGACTCAGGTTGCTGACAGGAGGTATAGCGACGTTGATGCTTTAAAAAAAAAATCCTAGGTTATAGTCTTTACTTCGCTGGATGAATTCAAGTCGACATTTGCCAGTTGTAGACGGGAGAAAGTCCCATAACTTAACTTTCCCCCAAAAATGTATTCCCACTGTCATACGGAAGATTTGTTTGCCGGGTAAAGACATGCAGCTTAGGTTATTTGGAGACTCGAAATTGCCCGTAGGTGTGAATGTGAGCGTGCATTGCAGTTGAATGCTAATGTCTGTCATCCTCTTTCCCCCCAAATAATAGTTTAAGATGTCTCCCTGTCTTTCTCACCTTGGTGCTTTCTCTTCTGTTTTTCATTTGACACAATAACGTTGTAATGAACTTAACGACTGACAAGTGCACGGCCTCTCTCTGCATGTGGCAGGATGTCGGGACGTTAGCGCTGAGTGTTGCTGAGCTTACAGCCCCATCCTATGGCTGCTCTTGCACACTGCACTTCTTCAGCATGACCTCTATTGCTGCAGTGTGCTTCACTGTTTCTCCACCGCTCTGCCTTTGTGGGCACATTTGTGATGTTTGGTTTTCCACTGGGCTGAAGCCTGATACAGAATAGGCTCAGAATAGACTCCTATTGATCCGTGATGGCTGGCTGGGGAAGGGGCAATGGAAAGCAACGGCTTAGCCAAATGGCCATTTAAACAGGGGAATAAATAATTAACTGAACCCAGAAAGCAAAGAGCTAGAATTGTAGAAAACCTGTGAAATGTAAAATATTGATGAATTAAACAAGCTTTAACCTTTAAGCAACTTATATTTCATTATATGGAAGTGCTGTCAGTGTTTCTGGGGTCTCCGAGACTTTTATAACAACACACATAACTCAAGAGCTTGAATTGAGTGGCGTTGTCCTTTAACAAAGCAACAGGAGGGGTTTCATTTTTATTCAGAACAAAAAGTCTGTTGGTGTTTCCGTCTCTCGTGGGTAGTTAACGGCCATATTGAGTCACAAAGGCAAAGCCTAATCTTCACGAGTCACTTCATTGTGTTCAATTATTTCTCCATCGCTCTCCAGCTGAGTAAATGAGCGTCCACAGACACCAGAGGCACAATTAAATTCCGCAGTCATTAAGTTTCACTATAAATCCCGACTCTCTCTCTCTGTGTGTGTGTGTGTGTGTGTGTGTGTTTCTGTTTAATGCAGGCGTGACAGTGTGTTCATGCGCTCGTCTCCCTGCCTGCGGCCTCAGCATGGTTACCATGAGAACAGCGTTACTGGTGACATCACTGCAGCAGTGTGACATCATTGCTGGATGGTGACTCATACTCTTGGCTCACTGTCGTGTGTGTGTGTGTGTGTGTGTGTGTGTGTGTGTGTGTGTGTGTTTAAATACGTGAAGATGCGATCATAAGCACTCGGGCCAAGATGAGACGACAACAACTCTCGACATCCATGTGTTTTATTCTATGTAACAAAAATAATTACATTGTCTTTGTTCTAGGAGCTTAACAATATTGAAAACAATAAAAGAGAACAAAAGCAAAATCATCAGACTGGACAAATAGACATTTACATGAACATCATAGAGAAATGTTGAAGAATATATTTATATTGCACAACCGAGCACATATGACCCCCCCCCTGTCAAAATAAAAGTAAAATATTCATGTTCATATTCATGTGTCATAACAGCTCTGAGTACTAATGCACTGCATCACTTCATGTTTAATTAACTCCACCTCACACAAACACAGCAATCGTATTTCAGTTCAATCCCATCTCTGGCACATAAAATCTAAGGAGTAAATATTGAATTTAGTCTAAGTAGTTTTGAATTGGATATTGCATGAAAAAAACAACAACAGCAGATGCGAAAGCAATCAAAACAACAAAACAGAAGTACATTTGTGTGTGCAGCCCCGGAGAGGAAAGTCAAAGTGGCTCCCTCGCGCTGAACCAGCGCTAATGAGGACGGACAGAAGCTAATCAGCGGAGGAGGGTGGAGATCATCACATGGCGAAGCCACTTTGTGAGCCAATCTGTTCTCATCAAACAACGTGAGATAGTCTGATGAACCAAGTCTATGGCGATAACATTGTGAGTCAAAACACTGTACTTTACGGGTGACAATATTCGTGGACTGCAAACAATTTGCGAGACGTTCATTGTAGTTGTGTCAACCTGAAGTTTATGTCTTTGTTTTTCTCTTAAATAAGTGCAAGAAAACATTTGCCAGTTAAAAAGCACCCATGTGGCGCGTTTTCAACCTGTTCTCAGGCGGCAAATAACGCAGCTTGGTCAGCGACGCTCTTTTAACGTACGTGTGTTTCGTACCAGGATGTTCTCACACCAACGACGGGTCCTGCTCCTTCTTTCACTGGATACAAACACATCAGGTAAGAAAACTGAACATTTGCGCGTGAAATGACATCAATTAAAAATGGAAAGATAAATTTATCTCACTCAAACTGAAACACAAGACTGAAGGGACTAATGAGGTTGTTTGCATCACATAACAACGTTGTCAGTTTTGATCTTTGATGCTCACCCATGTGAGTAGAACGGCAACAGTAGGCTACAGCAAACAAAGCGACGCGTCTCTTATTGGAGACGGTACAAACCGAACACCAGCAGACCACAAAAAGCAGGTGCAGGTGGGTAATAATACTCAGTGCTTCGGTGTGACACACACACTTTTTACAAAGTTAAACTAAACTTGAGGCATCTCTTGTTACACAAATTATACAAATACAAAACACATGGCCGCAAAAGTGTCCCGGCATACAGCACGCACTGAGCTTTAACAAGCACTCAGTTATTACTCAGGCTCACGCTCTCTCTCACACACACACACACACACACACACACACACAGAGCTGTGTCATCGTATGAAATTAGATCTAAGCTAGTGGTACATTTACATATTATATTTGTTTATATTCTTAAATATGATGACACTCGTATCGTCAATGTACATTGAGTTGTATGATTACATTACAGAGGAGGCTCCTTCTTTAGCGTCAGGGAGGGAGCATGTTCATTGGCTGGGTGGGAAGGAGGAGATGAATCTGATTGGCTGACAGGAGGGAAGTCAAATGTCTGACGCAACGGTCTGACCCAATGAGTCTGAATTATTAATACAAGGCTCGTGGGATTCAGTAAAACAGTTGTTGAAGAGTTGTGGGGTTCCTCACTCAGGTGACTGACCTGGAAGTTAATAGCAACTAATACTAACTGTAGGCTGGTCAATTGTTCACAAACTAACTTCTGTCTGATTCTCTTAGCGCTGATTATCTTTTTTTAAACTAATTTCTCCTTCTAACCTTTCAATGACCCAATAATGTCGATCATCACCATTTCTAAGGAAAGTTGGTCTCTCCTACGTTCTGCAGACCGAAAATCTGCAGCCAATACTGTGTATTTACTTCTGTGAATATATAGTTAGCTTTCAAGAGTGACATAACACCAACAATAACCAACAGTGATAACAATAGTTTCAAACTTAATAAGGAATATGCTTCATTGTACGCTAAGCCTAAACCACGCTTTAAACATCATAAAAGTGATGTTCGTTTGTGAAGAGTATCTTGCTGAAGTATCGTAAATTTGTGTTTTGCACAGATTTTATTTTCTGCAATCATTTTCAATGTACAGCTCGCATTACACATGTTCTAGTTGCCATCATTTACATGCACAAACAGGTGAGCGCACACACACACACACACACACACACACACACACACACAGAGCACCCAAGGCTTCCTCTTCAACCTTTTGCTCTTTTTCAAATTGATTTTTTAGATCTGAGCTCAGCAAAGTTGCTCTCCCTCCACCTCAAAGCGCTTCCTCTCTGACATTTAGGGAGGAAGAAGACAAAAAGGGGGGGAGAGCAGGACAGAGAGGAAGGGGGAGACGTCCACATCAGCTTTTCATGTGAAACAATATTGAATCGCGGAGGCAGGTTTGGCCTTTCCGAGAAATACCGTTACTGTTACTGTCCTGATTACCCCCCCCCCCCCCGCTCCACGTTGTTCTAGTGGCTCCTTCGGGAGATCAGGTTTAATATGTTTCTTTATGTTTTCCCTTTTTCTGGTTCTGCTTAAATGTAAACATGTTCATTAAATAATTACCAAAACTAATACAAACTTATTTTTTTCTTTCTTTTTTGTATTTTTTTGTATTTTTTTTTAATAATCTGTGATCTATAACAACAGATAAATTCAATCCAATGACGAAACAACTCAAAAGAACAAGTTATTTCATTGTTATAAAATCATTTTGGTCGTCGTTCATAAGACAGGTTGCATCTCTGATACATTAATTAAAGGTATCGAAAACATTTTATCAATCAGCTTCTTACATCGAGTGTTTGAGTTCCACATAAACACGACTATTTGTCCACGTTGTGGTTATTTCAACAGAGACATTGTTGTCGTTTCATCATTGGATCATTGATGAAAATTAGCTGTGCGGCAAACAATTATTTGCGATACTTTCACGTGTTTGTTCAGCAAGATGATCTTCACAAATGAACACCACTTTTATGATTAGTGAAGAGTAAATGTGAAAGTAAAAACCTAACGTTAGCCACTTGTTAGCAACCGCCTCTTTGAAGACGCTTCACAAAGTTCAAGAGTGGGTAAGTACTGACGTGTTTCATGTCGTAGAACAAAACCATAAAATCTCTTAAGCTTGTGTTAACCACAGACCTTATTTCAAGTACCTAACCAAAAATAAAATATAATAAATAAGAACTCAAGATGTTATTTTCCAAATTTGAACCTTGATTTTAGCCGATTTAGTAGTAAAAAGTATGTTAAGAAATGCTTAAGATGAAGTTTTATGGGGCTTTAAAGCCGCAGTGTGTAATGTTTACAAATTTCTGACTTTGGTTTCTCCAAGTGTTATAATTGGGGATAGAAATGCACTCCACGGAAAACAACACATCAGTCAATCAAAAACTAATGGCAGCAGAAAAATGTGAAGATAATCACATTAAAATCTACACGCAGGCTTTAATTACGACAAGCTGATGCAGTGATTTCATGTCATTCGTCTTCTTAATCTAACAATTATTATATACTATTAGTAATGTGAAGTTAAATGTCAAATGTTCATTTCCTGTTGAACTGGCATTAAAATAAAGCTAATCCCAAAGAGAGGCATAAAGAGAACATTAAGTGAAGGAGCTTTACTCTAACCTAATTACATGGCCTTTGTATAAAAAGAATGTCATCATTTTGATAAGATATTGATTTAGGCGCAGCCAGAAGCCACTGAGCAGCACATCAGTATGCCTCACCATGCTGCTGGAGGCAGCCGTCTGAGACATTCGTCACCTGCCCGCCTCACACTCGGACAGGGAGCGCGTGTGGACAGACACCGTGCTGTAATCTATGGGAAACGCTTTTCTTTAGGCGCCATGTAACTGGTTGTGGATTTGGCTGTTGATGGATTAAGTGAACGCAAAACACAGACACAAGCAGAGAGGCCAGTTTGATCTGGGGTCACAAAGTGTATTTTTCGCCCGTGAAATGTCCATACTCACATACTCACAAACATGTGGGCACCGTAACACACACACACACACACACACACACACACACACACACACAAAGCCTCTGGTATTGTCGTTTACATAATTCTCTCTCTGTCAACAAACCATTTTTAACTCTAGCTGGACCATGTGGACCAAACAACAGGCCCTTTGTTGGTTTAATGGCATTCCTTTTTTTAAACTATCCCATGGTGCACTGCATCCAAACACCAGCTGTGTTTCCACATTAGACGAATTGTTCAACATTTTGGAAAATATGTTTATTTGCTTTTTTGACAAGCGTTTGATGAGAAGGTCGATACCACTCTCATATTGTTACACTAAATATGAAGCTGGAGCCAGAAAACTTTAGGAGAATTTAGCTTCGCATAGCATAACGACTGGAAACGGGGCAAAAAGTTAGCCACGCTCTTCTCCAGAAGTTAAAGAACAACCCAAAGTGTAAAAACGACCAGTTGTAGTTACACCCGGGGTTAAAAGCCAAACCATTTCCTGGCGGGGAGCACTGCCTCCACAAAGCCCCGTTTTAAAACTGCAACTTATCGTTTTCACACTTCGTATATCAAATGTTAATAAGTGAGTTGTAGAGGTGCTGGTGAGCAGACTTCTTTACCTCTGAACGGAGTCTGGCGAGCTGTTTCCTTGTTTTCAGTCTTAATGCTAAGCTAACCTTCTCCTGGCTGTAGCTTAACGTTTGACATATGATAGTGGTATCAATCCTATCATCTAACTTCCATAAAGAAAGCTAATGAGCGCAACAAAACGTTTTCTGACCATTGAAATCTATGGTAACTTGCAATTAAATCTTTTTAAGATCTTGGCCAACCATTCAGTCGGGAGAAATAAGATGAACGTGCATGTCTTCTAAAAAGACGGAGAACCTTTGCACCTGCAGTATATTGTAACACAGTGTGAAAATCCTCCAAGGAGAAAAACTAGAAAGGAGCTGAAGGAATGTCCTCTTTTCACAGATCATCAGATTGGATTAGTTAAGACACCCGGCTAGACCGAAGCAGAGGTGCTGCACGAGTGTACTGCACGGCGGGACGGCCTATAGGAAAGGAATGGCATCAATCAGAGGTCCACTGCGTCACAACTGCTGTCATCACTGCTTCAAAACAAAAAAGGAAAAAATAAAGCTTCCCTACCGCCTCCTCCCAAAACTGCAACCCTCCCTTTCCTCCCGAGCCCCCTCTGTTCTCTCATCCTCCTTCCTTCTCTTGTTTCAGTTCAACTCTTCCCCTCCCTCCCTCTGTTTCTCTACCCATCCCTCTCTCTACTTCTGCATGTCACACTGCAGCAGTAGGACGATGGAGGGGTCGGACTTGGCGGCCTCTTTGAACTCTTCAAGGGAGATCTCATCGTTGTGGTCCTTGTCCATCTTGGAGAAGATCTTGTCCACGCGCTGCTGCGGGGTCAGCCCGTCCTCGTTCATACGCATCATGATCACAGTGCCGACCATCTTGTAGATGGCCTGCAGAGGGGAGGGGGAGGGGAGGGGGGGGGGGGGAGAAAGTGAGACATTGTCTTCAAACACATTTCAGATAAGAACCAGTAAAACCTCACAATCTGATTCCTTAATAAAAGGACACTTGCTCCCTCCTCACAAGCACATACCTCGATGATCTCCAGCATCTCCATGCGTGTGATCTTTCCATCCCCGTCCAGATCATACATGTTGAAGGCCCAGTTGAGTTTCTGCTCAAAGCTTCCCCTGGAGGTGATGGACAAGGCGCAGATGAACTCCCTGAAGTCGATCGTGCCGTCACCGTTCTTGTCAAATGTCCGAAATGCATGCTGGGCGAACTTTGAGGCATCACCATATGGGAAAAACTGGAGAGTAAAGAAAATAAGGTGATGGTTACATTGTGCTTCATGAAAGATGCCCACGCTGAGCCATGAGTCACCCCCCCCCGCGGTACGTTCCAAAAACTCAGAGTTTTTCAGTTAAAGCGTTTTTAATATGAAGCTATGGCAGCGCCTTGTATTTACACTAGCAGCTTGACAAGTGAAGCGTCTATCCTGCACTACAATTGGACATTTTTCTTCTTCTTGGTAGTTCTGACAGCGTTGCGGAGTAGCAGAGGGGGGCGGGGCTTAGCGAAAGGGCCAATTGGAGTCTTCTTGTGCACAAAATGCATCTGAACTCTTAATGCAGTTGGAACTCAATCCATCCATTTCCTGCCGCTTATGTGGGGCCAGGAGAGTTTCCTGCCCGATATCCTTCAGCAAATTTTGAAAAATTGCCTCATTTAGTTTCGACAGACTAATACCTGATGTACAAGCCACATGCACGTGACAGAGAGGGGAAGACAAACTGATTAAAAATATCTTTGACCCTTGTGCATCAATGATAAATGAGCCAGCCTCTCTCTGGCGCTGTGCCGTCTCAAAGGCTCCGGCATGTTCTGAGGGAGTTTCAGGCCTTAAAAGAGTCGCTCTCTCCGACCCAAAACAACGTAAGCTTTCTATGTAACAACCCAACTATGCTCTGAATCATTTCAAAGGTAACTTTTTTCATTTTATATAATTATGGAAAGATTTAGAACAATTTTCACTGCAGGCAATAACACAATGTTACCCCGCACTGTGTAAAGACCCCAGCCCTACTTGTTACTTCATGCCTCTCTTCTGACCTCACCTTAACATAGAGCTGCTGAAACTCGTCCAGGTTGAGGATGCCAGAGGGACAGTCTTTGAGGAAGCCTTTGTACCACTGCTTCAGCTCTACTTCGTTGAATTCGGTGCTCTTGGTCAGGTCGTCCAGAACCTCCGGAGCCAGCTTGCTGTTGTGTTTCCCCATGATCCTTCACCTCTCTGGGGGGGGAGAGAGAGGGGAGAGAGAGAGAGAGAGAGAGAGGGTGAGGATGTGCCAGACAAACCACAGCAACAGCAGTAATGCCCCTGTGTTGTTGCTACAGCACAGGTCTCTGAGGAGCGATGCACACAAGGAATTACCTGCAGAGTAACACATGCAGAGCAGAGCTGTACTGTCTTAATGTGGCTTTAAATGTCAAAATATACAGTATAAAACATTCACACACATATATGCACGACAATACATTTTCTTAGCAAGCCATTTAGTCCTATTTTCAAAAATGTATTCCACTTAAAATGATAGTGAAAGCGATATTTTGCTTGTGAGGTGAGCTATTTGTTTGTAATGTCTTTAGTCAAAGGTAGATGAGGGTGCTTTGGTTGGAGCAGTGCTCTTAGGCCTTTTGTCAAACATGACATTTTAGTCGCTAAGCTTTAGATATCTCGTTAGATATCTTGAGGATTGCTTTTCTGACCCTGAAGGATAATATCCGTGTGCCCCAAGGTTCCATATTAGACCCTTTCCTGTTTGGTGTCCATACAAATGACATGCATTTACTTTTTACTGAAGTTCAAACACACATGTATGCAGATGATGCAGTTTTGTATCATCATGGAACTAGGAAACCAGAAGTGGCTCATGACTCGTATCAATCTATCCTCCATAATCACCTTGTGGAAGTAAAGCCTCTGATAGCATCACTGATATTTTGGCCATAAAACGGTCCATTACACCGGCTCCTCACCATATTCACATGGCTGAAGACCACTGCAGTGCCTTCATGACGCCATCCCTGACTCATAGCCCTGTCTGACAGCGTTTAGCACTTTGACACCAGGACGCAGCCGAGCCAAGCGACCACAAATCCTCCTCTAAATTGCAGAGAGAGTGGACGGGGGACAGTTTAGAGGCTGCAATATCATCCTTTCACGCTTTATGTCGAGTGAGTCATGCAGAGAGGGGCAACTGAACCCCAAGACACTCTGTACACATATTTTGGACTGTATTCCTGTGACAAGCGTGAGTCACTGTAGGAGAGCCAAGAGCTTGGAGGAAGAGCAGTAAAGGACATTAGTGGGACACAGGACATTCCAGCATTAAGTCATTTTGAAAAGGTCGCCTGTGATCTAATCAAGTGGAAACACAAAAAAAGAATGTTTCTCTCTTCTCAGAAAATCGTCTTACAGTTGTTTGAGAAAAGAAAAGAATGAGTGATGTTCAGGCAGAAACAGAATAAAACATGAACCGAATGATAAATGTTAAAGCAGTTCCAATCACTGAACGGGTCGGCTGGGTGTGCATCTGTTCACCGCAGTCCTGTACGATTCAAACATCTCTGACTTTGTTATTGCCAGAAAATAGCTTCCACCATTATCACGTTGACGGCAGAGCCCAGCATGTGTCGAGCATAAAAGAGCAAACGTTAAGTGTTCCATTTCCACAAAGGACTTTTGAAATTGTGCAGTGACACAAATGGATCCCTTCAGAGATGACTCAGGATTTTTTTAGGTTAGGTTAGGCGCTTGTCTTCGCTTCGACACATGCACACACAGTTTCACAAGTTTAACTGCTGCAGGATGGATTCAGGCAGATGTTTGAGGCAGAAGATCACACAAAGGTGCTCGTGTTTTTGCAGCATCACCTGTAATGACATTTTCCTGTGATGGCAGGAGGTCACTTTCGAGGGACTATAGTTAAACTAGACGTGTTCCACTTCACTCGCTCACTTAAAGTCCAAGTGAAACAGAAGTTAGAGTGTCTTTAGCGTCTGAACAGTGAAGTATTTAACAATGAAACGGAATATTTCAGCATTTTGCAGGTACATTTTGGAGGACGAAGAAGGAGAAATATAACGGAAACTTGACAGATTTTCTGTGGGCAGAACATTCAGATGAACGTCGCCCGGCCTCCTTCCATGCCGCCCACGCTCGCGCTCTCTGCTCAGCCGCTGGTAGAACTCGTTCATCTGTACTGTGCTCACCGAAACGTTAACCTGCACTAAAATGACAAAGAACCGGTTGAAAACATTTGCCTTGAATGAATTACCTTAGCCACTAACTGACTTTTTTGCAGCATACTTAATAGACACACACAAATGTATTTATAGCAGTCTATATTATATTATATTACATGACCTGTATATTATCTCCCTATTGATTGTTTTAAATTTGATTTACTAAACCGAGATTAGTTTTAAATTGTGCAACAATGCTCGAGCTCAGAACCTGGTTTAGCTAAACTAGAACTAATCTTGATCAAATGATCGAATGAATCCTTGTTGGTGTAAACCAGCCTTAGACCGGAGGTTTAACTATCCCCAGATCACTGATGTCCACTCACGAGTAGCTCTGTAAATCACCGACTGCATCAACAAAGACACACACATCACAAGTATACAAACTTGTGACACAAGCTGTGGGTGTATTTTGGCTGGTACCCTGCTGGACACACACACAAACACACACAAACACTCTCCACAGAGTTGCAATGTTGTGTCTCGCCTCTGACTGAGGCAGATGAGAATTTATCCCTCTGTTAGGGAAGCAAATGAAGCAGATAATGGAGTTTCCAGTGGATGCCAGTGAGAGGTGTGACTAGCCAGGCGAGCCAACACATTGGAAACTGAAATAATCAAAATAAACACTGTTCACGCCAGCAAAACAGGCAACCCGTAGGTTCATTCTAACTGCTCCCGGCTGCTCAGGTCTCTGCCAGCTCATCTACCTCAGGCAGACATCCATTGTGGGAGACTATTGAGGTGTGGGAGGTTATGTGGAAGTAACTCTGGGTGTTTCTTTTAGCGAATGAGTCAAATCCCTGTGGAATCAATGAGATGCATTCAGAATACAGATTAAGTGGCTTATTTGCCATTTTCTCCAAATAACAGCCATTTTGACCGCCACAGAGAGTGTGATGCTTATCTGAGTGCAGTAAAAAATAATTGTATGTGTTGACATGTAAGTCAAATTAGAGTGTGCAGTGTGTTGCAATAACGATGTCCTTGTGTTAAGAATAACAAAGACTAGAGACGGTGTGATGCATAAAATATGGACTTCTGTTTACGTTTTTGTTGGCAGGTTTCAAACCTCTGAATTGCTGCTCAACTCTACAATTTCTTTCAAGATTTAAAAGTTCTCGTGTTCTGCTCTTTGCTAGCTATCAGCTGAAACGAGCTGTAAAACAAACCGGCCAATCAGAGCTTTGTAGGCGGGGTTAAAAATAGGGACTTGAACTTTCTGTGCCTGAGCCAGAAGAATGGCTTTATCCATGAAAAAAAGCAACAGAAAAATTGCCACAAACATGCAAGGTCATTGTAAGTTGACTTACAACAGACTAGTAACTGGTGAACATAGCGGAGCATTTAGCAGCTTAAGAGTCAGATGTGTTTTTCAGGAGATGGTGGAGACCAAAGCAGAGACAAAATGCCAGTGACAAATGACAGCTAATGTTGCTTTGTGTCTGCTGGATGTGTAAGATTATATGATAATATGTCAGGGTTGTGTTTATAGTTTGTTCGACTGCCTCCAAGTGGCCGTAAAAAAGTAATGCTGCTTTAAACTGCTTTACATTCCTTCAATCGTCATGAAACTACTCCTGGCAACCACCACTGATTGGTTGGGGCGTAACAAAACCATACAAGCACCCTCCCAACCAGTAATTAGTTTACATGAACACCATGTGAGGCTGGATGAATTAAGTACTACAAATTGGCAACTCAGCTTGATTATTCTGCGAATCTCAGGAACAATTATGTTGCACCCAGGAGGTGAGTTAGGAACGAATAGCCTGGTATCAGCTTCAGTACTAAATTACTCAGTCCAGTTTTAGCTCTGATAAACCCATAACAGCCTGCAAAGAGGCCCCGGGCCCAACCTATTTCTGCTCTCTCCCTCTGGTGCAAAACATGAAATATGCTTTATTCCCCAAATGCTGCAGTTTCCCAAAAATATACTAATTCAGCCCTGAACACCTGCTCTGCACATCCCACCAAAGGGATCAATCGGCCGGGCAACATGCTGTTGTCGTGCACGATGACGTCTTTAAAGGTCTGTTCACGTCAACACGTGGTGGAGGCCCAAGCACACACTCACACACACACACACACACACACATACAAATATGCCAGCTTCAACCAGGGACGACCAGGACATATTACTTCCATCACAAAGGGGCAATGCACTAACTCATACACTGATATATAACGATATAGGAGGAGAGGACGAAGGGAGAAAAGATGAAGAGGCTGTGTGAGAAATAAATAAATAGGGGATGACTCAATTGAACGATTCACACGTCTGAGGGAGAAAACGAATCGACGTGGAGAGGGAACCAGGGAGCGAAAAAGGCGAGGAAGACGGAAGGACGGTGAAAGACGAGGCGACTGGCAGATAAGCAGAGCTTGTAGAAAATTGTCCCAACAGGCGTTGAATAGAGAAAGACATGTATCTCATTGAGTCTGAAGGGGCATTAACGCATGTTCATTCCAGCCGTCAGACTGAGAGCAAACACAAAGTCTAATCTGAGTTGTAAATGCGTGGGAGACTGTGTGTGCGTGCGTGTGTTGCTGTGCCTATGTGTTTGTCAGCCCAGCTTGATGGCAATCCAGCTGATTGGATAAGCTTCAGTTAAAGATGATTGCGTGCCAGAGTCTTTAGTAATGAAGCTCACATTTTGATGGCAGTTTTCTTAAACTCAAGGGTCTTGTCACGGTTAGGAGAGCGGCAAGCAGGGGAATTTATTCTGATCAAATTACACGTAAACGTCTCAAGAAGATAACACTGCTAACTGACACACAAACACTAATTACAACAATCACAGACAGTAAAATACAACGTAACACCCCCTGAATATCTTTTCTTTGCTGACCACCAGTGTTTAAACTTCTCACCTAGCTGCAGTGATGTACAGGTGTGATGTCACAAGGTTCCGAACAGGTGAGAGTAACTTTTAAAGCCAACCTATGCTGTGATCGGGTGTCATGGTGAAGGTTTGTGCTCTG